CCCCCCCCCTTGGCCTTCCTTACTTGGGAGCCCGCTGTCATATTTTAAGCTGCTACAGGGCTCAGGGGTCCAGTTTGGCCTGTTAGCTCCAGGACGGTCCACCAGATGGTGCTCACGCTCTCCCATTCTGTCTCCCTGCTGCCCCCCTGTAATTTCGGACCATAGAAATTTTACAATAATAATAACAGTAGCTATTATATATGTATATTATAATGTATAACATATTTCTATGTACACATTTATATACATTATATATTATATTTACATGTAATCATATATAATATTAATATGTTAATGTACAATAACAGTAGTGCTAAGGGTTAGGCGGGCCTGGTGGAGGTTAGAGAGCCAGCTGCATGGGTGCGGATCCTGGCTGTCTCTGCCACTTGCCCTTGGGCAAATAGGTCATTTTGTTGTTATCAGTTTCCTCACCTACACAATTGAGATAATAACACCTGCCCCATGGGGTACTGGAAGGATTAAATGGCTTACTCCATGTAAAGTGTAAAGCCCTTAGAAATATAAAGCTCTGTATAACTGATTGTTAAGTGACCCTTTGATTGTGACAACTCTAAAAGTAGACACTATGTTCCCCACTTTCCTAGGGGGAAAGTGGAGCTTAGAGAGAATGTGTCACCCAAAGCTGCATTGCTTCCAGCAATGCTGAAAACCCTTCCCCCCAAAAAACCCTGGTATGTGTCTCCCAAACTGACCAGTTTCAGGAACTGTGTGTCACATTTCTGAAAATTCACCCAGTATCAGCAGAGCACGAGAAAAGCCCATGAGCTAAGTAGCCAAACTAAGCCTCTTCCTCTGGACACAGGAGGGGGAGAGGCTCTAGCAAATTCTGCTTCCCACTGACTCTTTCAGACAATCCATCCTCAAAGCAATCCAGGAACCTAGCTGAGGAGCTGGGCAAAGCTATGGAGATCGTGGGCAAAGGCAAGAATGGGGTCAGCTTTGGCAAAGTGGACATCACGGTTGAGAAGGAACTTCGTCAGGAGTTTGACATTCAGAAGGCCCCAGAGTTGAAGCTGTTTTTTGAGGGTAACAGGTTGGAGCCCATCAGCTGCAAAGGTAATGGTGCTTGCGTGTCAGTCAAGGTAACATTAGCTATGAATACACATAAATGCCAGCATTTCAGTGGTTTAAAAAAATTAAGAATTTAGTTATTGCTCGTGTAAAACCCATTTGGCAACCAGAGAGTAGAGGTGGGGGCTCTGTTTTTCACAGTCTTTCAAAGACCCAGGCTCCTTCCAGCTTGTGGCTCTGTCTTCCCTTAGGGTCTGCTGTTTCCTTTGTGTATTCTGCCAGCAACGGGGGCAAGGAGGCAGAGAACCGCCACTGGTTGTGTTCATGGCCCAGGCCTGGAAATGGCAAACATCACTTTTTAGTCTCTTAACATTAACCAAAACTCTGTTACATGACTCCACCAACAGGCTGAGAAGTACGTGTCCATAAGAAAAAGAACACAGATTTCTGTGACATGTAGCTACATCTCTCTACAGCTTGCATCTCAGCTAGTGGATCCTAGAAGCACCATGAGGTGCTTGGTTTATAAACCACCAGAGACCAGAGAGTGAATTCCTAACTTCATGTAACCGCCCGCCACCCCAATCTTCTACTCTAGAATAATTTTGGTCCCAGGCCAAGGAAGCACTGGCTGCCAAAAGGGAGAATGAGAGATGACAGAACAGGACAGGTTTGGGGCAGGGTGACCACCTGACTCTATTGCTTCTAATGATCCATTTCATTCATTAACTCAGTCATTCGCTTATTCAATGCTCTTTTATTGGGAACCTACCATGTGTTGAGCCCTATCTTGATGTTGAAAATGCATGAAGAATTATGTGCCTCAGTGTGGCACACGATAGGTCCTAATTTTAAAAAGTGTTAACTATATGAATGTGTAAACGCATGCATAATATGTAGATGAATGGAACAATGCAGACGAGTGCAGGGGAGCCCAGCACAGCCTGTTCTATGCCGGTAGAGTGTTCCCATTATACGTGTGTGAAATGATTGAATCTCAGGAAACTGAGATTGTCTGTTGCAGGGCCTGGTGTTCAGCAGGTCTGCAACAAACCTGCTTAAGTGTTGTTGCAAGAACCAGGAGACCCAGGGAGTGCCACCAGCTGCAGGGGCTGCAGGATGCCTTGCAGTTCTCAGAACAGACACAAAGGGGCATGAGACACACAGGCCAGACTCGCAGAGGAAGGTGCAGCAGAAGTGCCAGTTTCAGGACAGGTTATATAAAAGACCTGGCAAGTGCTGCGGGCTTGTGGGAGGTGGCCTGTGAATGGGGGGAGAGAAGAGATAGAGGGAGAGAGGGCAGGAGCAGTGAGAGAAGAGAGAGAAGGTTGTTCCTACAGAGAGTGACGGAATGACAATCCTCAACAACAGTGACTCATTGATTGCAAGCAAAAACCCCTTATGGCACAAGAAATGAGAAGCCCCACGTTACTTTGTCGAAGTCCTGACTTCACTTAGAGGCAGCAAGGTGACAATATGGCAACTTCCATACTGTCTGAGCCTCTTTGTGGTGGAAGCCAGCTCCTGGTACCTCCTGTGACCAGCAGGAAACTTCATCATCGCCTCCCTCTGGCAGCCTCCCTTGACTGAGCAGGTTGGGCCAGGGTGCCTGCCCCGGTTGTGCGTCCCCCTCAAGCCCCCACTTCACAGAACTGTATCTGTTCCTCACTGTCTTCTCTACTGAGCGCACGAGGTCAGGGGCCAATTCAGGGAACTCTGGCTTTGAATTCTCACTCTGTGCTTGAGACACAATCAGTTCGTGTCTAATTTTGATTCCCTTGTCTGTAAGATGAGGATGGTGAGAGGATGGACCTCCTGAGGTTACTGGGAAGATGACATAGATTTGCAAGCCACAAGCCATGACATGTATCTGGAGCACTCACTGTGCCCCAGATACTGTTCTTGTCCCTTCCCCCTGTCACAAAAACCCAATGTAGGAGGTGCTTTTAAGCATGGAGAAACTGAGGCACAGAGAGGTAGAATGATTTTTTCAAGGTTCCATGGGACCCACAAACATTTTCTGTAAAGGGTCAGATGATAAATATATATTTAAAAAAATATATTTTTATTGGTTTTTAGAGAGAGATGGAGTGGGAGAGAGAGACAGAGAGACAGAGAGAGAAACATCCATCGGTTGCCTCCCACACACACCCTGACCAGGGATCAAATCTGCAACCTGGGTATGTGCCCTGACTCGGAATCGAACCCTTGACCTTTTGGTGCAGGAGACAACGCCCAACCAACTGAGCCACACTTTCCAGGACCAGATAGTAAATATTTTAAGCCTACTGACCAGACAATCTCTGTCAGAACTGCTTAACTCTGTTGATGCAATGGGCAAGCAGCCATACATAAGCAAATGGGTATGGCTGTGTGTCAATAAGACTTTATTTATAAAACCAGCTGGCAGACCAGATCTAGCCCACAGCTTACATTGTGCTACACTCTAAGCAAGTGGCAGATACGGTTATTTTTATCAAACTATTAGCTTCCCGACCCTAGTGCAGGGCCTGGAACACTTAGGTTCTTAAAGTGTAGTTTTCGGTTTGAATGGGATGGCACTGCGAGGGCCTGCTGCAGGAGGCAGGCTTGAGGTGAGGACCCGGCCCCTATTATTGCTGGGTTTCCCATCCCCCTTCTTCCTCAGTGCTTCCCTCCAGCCAGGGAAAGAAGCAGTGGGATGCCGGGATGGAGCAGGGCCTGGATTTTAGCTATGAGAACTTGACCCAGCTTTTCAATTTCTCATTTCCTAAGCACGTTGAATAGTGGGTGCCAGCTCTGCCCACCTGACGGGCTCCTCGGAGCTAAAAAGGGCGAGACAGTTTGACTTCTATAAAAACCTCTGGAGGAGGCAGGTGGGGTTTCGTTCTTGTTGGGTCAAAGCCCCAGACCGCCTGTCTAGCACCCAAGGATTGAAGGGGGAGACTTGGCCTTGGCTGCCTCCCTGGAGGGAGGGAGACTCAGGTTGCCCCCAGGGCCTCAATAAGGATGCACAGCCAGTGCCTGGGACTGTGCCTCAGAGCCACAGCCCCAGTAAGTCGTCGACACAGGTTCACACCTCAGTGGTCACTGTCCTCTGGCTCTGACCCAGGGGCCAGGGGAACTCCTGCACAGTGGGCAGGGCCTGATTTGTAGGCACTCAGGAAAGATCTATTTGCCAAGTTCAGAGCTACCTCAGTCCCTGGGGTCTAGAGGGGCAAGAGGAGCTCACGCTTCCCAGAGATCAGCTCCCTGCAAGCCAGCCAGCTAGTGAGTCATTCAGCTCACTCACCCACTCACTCACTCACCCACTCACCCTACGGTGACTCCCTGGCACCCAGTGTGAGCCGGGCGTGACAGGGGCTACTGAGCAAGTTAGCCAAATGTCAAAATTTTGGGAAGAGATAGGTACAATGAAGAAAATACATCAGGTCGGAAAATAGAGAACGATGGCAGGGGGAGGGGTGAGAAAAGACCCATCTGAGACCTGAATAAGCCGGAGGAGGTGCCCGGCCAGCTGAGGGAAGAGCAGCCGGGGAGGGACTGGCAGATTCCAAGCCCAGTGTGTGTGTGTGTGTGTGTGTGTGTGTGCGTGTGCATGTGCATGTGTGTGTGTGTAGTGGGGGGGGGAGCAGGGGCTGGAGTCCGGACAGTGGGAAGTGGTCAGAGAGACAGATCTGAGCACCCAAAAGTTACACCTGTTCAGAGGGGTTAGTTCTCCTTTCTTGTTGTTTTCATAAGTTTTAAACCCACTCCTTTCAAGACACTTAATTGGCTCAGGTAAAAGCCTATAAGAGAAAGTTTCTTTCCATGATAGGTGTCTGTTTCCCCCCCCCCCGAAAAATGGCTCTGAACACCGTAAAGTTAGAAACTCAAGCTTGGGCCCGACCCGGGAGGCAGGCTGACTGCAGTGGGGTGGTGTCTGGTCTGAGGGTGTCAGGAAGCCTCGCCCACCCCCCTCGGGCCCCGGAGAGCACCACACCCTTTTCCCTTGAACTCCCACAGGCCCGACTCACTGTGGCCTCTTGAGTGGCCTATTCTGTATCCACTGAGCTGAACACAGTGTCCCCTATGGCCAGAAATTCTCCCTCTGGGCATGTATCCCCGAGAGGCGCGGAGCCCAAACTGGAAACAGCCCAAGTGCGCCCCAGCGGAGGGTGGACTCGTGAGCTGCGGGGCAGTCACACAGGGGAAGCCTCGGCAGCTGTGTGAACGGAGCTGCAAGCACAGGCGACATGGATGAATCTCACACGCACGACGAAGCCAGACCTGAGAGCACAAACCGTGACCTGCACGGCTTTCAGGAGCAGGCCCACTGAAGCGCTGTCAGAAGTTAGGATAGAAGTTGCTCCTCGGTGGCGGCAGGGGCAGGGCAGGGGCAGGGGCTGGGAGGGGGCATGCGGGCACTTTTGAGGGACTGGCAATGCTCCATTTCTTGATCTGGGGGGTAGTGACTCAGGTGTGTTCATTTTGTCACAATTAATCAAACTATTTATTATAATTTGTGCACCTTTCTGCATGTAAATATGCTTCATTACAAGCTTTTTAAAGGTCAAATGTTCTTAGGAAATATAAGCAAAGAACTGAAAATAGTCCTTTCCAGTTAATCTACCAACACAATGTGCGTTCACCAGGGCCCTTGAGGAATCTGTCCTGTCGCAGGGCCTTTGCACAGGCTGTTTGCTCTGCCTGAAAGCTTTTCTGTCTCCTTATTGCCTCCTGTGTAACTCCTACACATCCTTCAGTTTTCACCTCTTAAGTAATTTCCTCCAGGAAGCCCTCCTTGATTTCACAGTCTAGGTAATGTATCTTCGCTACTGGCTCGCTGAACTTGATTTTATATACTTATTTGGTTGTGCTTATACACTTGTTTGTGTAATTACTATATTTCCTTAACAGAATGGGAGCTGCAAACGATGGCATTGTGTCTGTTGCTGGCCACCGTTACAGTGTACCCCCCCAAGAACTAACACGGCCCTTGATATCTTAGTAGGCACTCAGTGTGTATTTATCAAATGTCTGAAGAATAAAAGAATTAATGAGTGAGCGAGTGAATAAAGCCCTATAGATGTAGCCCAAGGCTGCTCACGACAAACCTTGCTTTATCTCATAAACCCACTTAAAATGCTCCATTCTGTTCTGTAGCAGGCTTTCATACAACATTTGCGCCACCTGCCATCATGTGAAGCTGGCGATCCCAGCAAGCACACGTCCATCTGTAGCCTGGTGCACATTCCGCAATGCCATTCCACCTCCCCAGATACGGCACATATCTCACAATTTCAGAAGCCAAGGCTTTTGTGTGCTTGGCCCCTCCACACGACAGCTGAGAAATGAAAGTCAGGACTGACAACCTTAGCACAAGTTTGTGTCTCAGCTGAGCAACTGGAGACACAGGGATATGATGGAACTTTCCCAAGGTCACGGAGCTAGCTGGTTGTTTGATTTGTATTTTATTTATTTATATTTAAAAATCTGTCTTACTGTCACTTTGGTGGGCGAATGAGAAAAGAAGGCTGGACTTGCTTCCTCCTGAGTTTGATCCTCGGATTCGCTGGCGGGGTGGCCATTGGCAAGTTCAACTTCAATTTCCTATCTTCGAAAAGGAGGGGAGTAATACTGTCTAGCCCTTAGGGCAGGGTTGTTGTGGATGTAATGCCTGGTCCTTGGTAAGTGCTTAGTCAAGTTTACCTGCTGTGTTAATGTTCTTGCCTTGGGGCTTGGTGGGGAGGAGAACTGACTGTGGCCTTCAAGGGGTGGGACCCCAAGATGAGAAGCTTCCACACGTTAAACTTGGGAAGGACAGGCCTTGCTACACAGTTCAAGAGAAAACTTCTGTGGGATCAATTTTCCTGTCTCTCTCTCCAGGAGTGGTTGAATCTGCTGCTTTGGTCGTCTGGCTGAGAAGACAAATTAGCGACAAAGCATTTTTGTTCACTGACACCCAGCAGGTGGTCGAGTTTGTGAAAGCCAGGCCCTTGGTGATTATAGGCTTCTTCCAGGTACTGAGTTCAAGAGGCAGGAGGTGGCTTTTCAACTGGTGAGGAGTCCTGTGTCTGGGAGGGGACTGAGGGAGGAGAGGTCCTATACTTGGGTTAATTCCATACCTACTCTTCATTTCCCAATGAGCTGTTTTTTGGGGGAGAACAGGTTTAAAATGAAGGGGAAAAAAAGTAAGCTGAATGCAGTAGGAGAAGCTAATTAGAGAAAAAGGAGTGGAGAGAGGAGACTGAATTGGTTTTGATAGTATAACTGATCATTCTGGGGTCTACTTAGAATAGCACTGAATAATCAATAATTTGCAAGTTGATTTTCCTTTTGGAGAACGGGTTTCTTGTACATCTTAACTCATTCCCTACAACTTTGATGACTCCTCCACTTCTGCCAGTGAAGTCAAAATTTTGGTATTAAATTTATACCTGGAGAGAGAATGTACCTCTTTCTCTCTCATCCCACTTTTTGACAGTGTTTTTGGCCCCAATTTTCTTTTAAGCTAAAGAATGAAGGCTGAAGCCACAGCCATATCTTGATACCAAATTTATATTTGATACTACATGTGGCCAAATCAATTGCCTCTCCTGAAAGCAATTAAGGAATAAATGTAAAAAGCCCCCAACCCACTCTCATACTTGGAAAAGGTCAAGTTTATCAACTCTCTCCATTCATCTCTGTGGATTTGCCTGTTTGGCTTTAGCCAGAGCCATAAAAGTATTCTGAGTATGAAACAGCCATAAGATGGGATTTTGGGTATCGAAGCAAAACCCCAGAAGTTGGACAGGTAAGGAGGCAAGTTGGTCAGCCCTTGCATCTTGACCTTAAATGAGCCAGGCATTTTGCTTTCTACCCAAACCTTACCAAACATCCTTCCCCGAACAGGACTTAGAGGAAGAAGTGGCCGAGCTGTTCTACACCACGATCAGAGACTTCCCAGAGCTAACGTTTGGAGTGATAGCGATCAGCAATGCCGTGGGGCGTTTTCATGTCACCCTCGACAGTGTTCTGGTGTTCCATAAGGTAGGCCTTCGATCCTATTGCTAGTGAGGGGGTCCCTAGTTCAAAATCAGGGACTGTGCATGTATGGATGGGCTTTGGGTGCAAATTCTGGTTCTGCCACATGTGAGCTAAGTCGCATTGGACAAGTCGGCGTTTGCAAAGTCAGCTTCCTGGTGTTTCTCTGGCCTTTCTAGCCCTTCTCCTACAAGCTCATCCGCTTTTCTTTAACCAGTAAGTGTCATTAAGTCTCAATCTTCTGCCCCGTGTTTGCGTCTGGCCCATGCTCCCCCACCCACCCTCTATCAGCAGTTATTATCCAGACACCCAGTGGCTTGTGAGTCTCCGTCTCCTGCCAGACTTCTCTCACCTCCAGACCTTTATACCCATCACCAGGTGTCTCAGCCTGGCCAAGTCTTAATCTCCCCTCCAAATCCTCTTTTGGGGTTTTCTCTCCCAAAGACTGGAACCACCATCTCTTCCTTTTCCCATCTGAGCAAAGCCAGAAGAGCCAGGCATCATTCTAACACCTCCCTCTTCTCCGCCCCTCATGGCCAACTTGTCACTCCAACCCTAGTGATTTTAAATCCAAAATATCCCTTGCACCTATCCACTTGTCTATAATGCTTCCCTCCCAGACCAAGCAACCGTCGTAGCCCACAGCCTAACGGAACAGCCTAAGGCAATGTCCACCCAGCTGACCTGCCACATTCCCCTTTCTCCTCTCATGAGCAATCTTTCCAAAATTCAGATCTATTGGTCACTTTCCTCCTTCTCACTGAAAGCCTGTTGGTGAGTCCCTATTGTTAATCCTATTATTATAGAATAAAAATTCAAGTCCTTAACGAGACCGACAAGGCCTTCCGAAGCCTAGCCTCTGTGACACACCTTCCTGCCCGCTCTGGGGTCTAGATCTGAACTATCCAATACGGCAGCTCCTCATCACTTGTGACTATTTAAATTAAAATTTTAGTTCCTCGGTCAAACTGGCTTCATGTGGACGGTCGCTACTTTATTGGGCAGCATAGATTCATAGAGCATTTCCATCGTCACACAAAGTTCTATCGTGGTCTCGTTCCTGGAACATGCCTTACTCCCTCCTCACACAAAGCCAGGTTCTTACAATAACCATGTTACTTACAGGTATGGCTCAGAGAGGTTAGGTTACTTGCCCAAGGCCACAGAGGAGACAGGTAGTGATACCCAGATCTGCCTGACTCTTACAGAAGACTGTGAGCCCACTGCATTTTCACATGTGCCCATGGAAATCAATGAAGGGCTTTTATTTGAAGAATAAAATAACTTCATTAGTGTTTCTGAATGGGACAACACAGAGTCCAGAAATAGATACAAATACATATGGGAATTTACTATATGATATTTTAGATTAATAGGGAAAAATGTATGTTATTCAATGACTAGTGTTGAAAGAATTGGATAGCCATTGAAAGCAAAACACTAAAGCTAAATTCATACACCACTCCTTTCACAAGACCTTGGAAGGGCCAGAAGATGCCACGGGGAGTCTGCTTTGTAGTGTTGGAGTGGGAAAGCTCTTTATAAAGCATGACAGAAACTCCGAAACAAGGAAAAGAAATATTGATAAATCTGGACCACATAAAAATTTAAAAGTTCTGCAGAATAACCCAAAAGCCAAGTAGCAAACTTGGACAATGCATTTGGGAGAGATTTGGTCTATTTTAATGGTTAAGGACATGGACACTGGGGTCAGACTGCCTGGGTTGGAATCTAGGCTCCACCTCTAGTTTAGAAAACTTAGGCAGGTCACTTCACTTTTCTGTGCCTCATTTCCCTCAACTGTAGAGTAGGAGAAATAATAGTATGTAGCTCCATGAGATGTTTTGAGGATTAAATGAGTTGGGGCATATAACATGTTTAGAATGGCAGCTGGTACAACATGAGATCTCAATAAGTCTAGTCAGCATTATTGGACTATTTTTATGACCAGAAAAGACTTTGGACTTTATCCAGAAGACAACAGGGTCTACGAAGTATTTAAGCAAGAGAATGACATGATCAGATTTTCATTCTAACAATAGCGCTCTGGCTGAAGTGTGGGGGATGGCTTGAAGGAAAGCAAGGGGAGGAATTAGAAGACCACTCGGACATTTTTTCAAGAGTCCAGGAAAGAGGTGTGGACTAGGATGTGGGATTGGTGGAGATGGAGAGAAGGAGATTAAAGACGAAGAAATTAGGAGATAACTAATTCTTTCTCCTTCCCCCACACAGACTTTGATCTTGGGCTACAGAGAATAATAGCACCCCCTCTGTGGACCCAGGTCCTTCTGAGAAGACATCATCAGGCAGGATTAGACATGTAAAAATCAGGGAAAACACACCGAAGAACCTGGGGAGACTCTTAAGACCATGATGTAGGCTTGGCCCTCGGAAGGGAGGGAGGAAGGAAGGAAGGAAGGAAGGAAGGAAGGAAGGAAGGAAGGAAGGAAGGAAGGAAGGAAGGAAGGACCCACAGGACAATCCGCCGGGCTGTTCACATTTATGAAGTGCCTAGATTATTGGATTACATTGTACCATGGTGTTTTCTTTTTATCCAAGGGGAAAATTGTGCTGTTTATATTTAGTAAGTGTCTGCATCATGGAAGCCACTGCCCTCCAATGCTTTTCTTCTTTTGTCCAAGGGAAAAATGGTGAACCGCCAGGAGCTTATTAACGACAATACCAACAAACGTATCCTCCATCAACTCATAAAACAGCATCTTACAGGTTTTGTTATTGAATACAACACTGAGGTCAGTGAGCGAAGCTCCCCGAGGAGAAGGGTGGCTGGGGCCCCTGCGCGTGGGATGACCTGTGTTCCTTGTCGTTTCAGAATAAGGATCTGATTTATGAACTGAACATCCTGAATCACATGCTGCTTTTTGCCTCCAAGAGCTCCAAGTCGTTCAGTATGATAATGCAGCATTATAAGCTGGCGTTGAAGGAGTTCCAAAACAAGGTCTGTGGAGGCACCCTTCTTCTTCGGGGTTCCCCGATGGAGATCCTAGACTTGTAGACCCATTTGGTTGCCCTACTGATTATAAATTAAGCTAGGCACAATTTGCATGTTCATTTACATATGACTTGACTGATTTGCATTTCAATGCTGTGTATTAGTTACTATTTAATTTTCTATTCTAATTTTTTCCTATTGTTGACATTATTACAATTATCCCCTTTTTCACCCCCCTTCGCCCCTTCTACCCAGACTCTGCCCTCCCCTCCCCCTGGCTGTGAGCACATTGTCGCCTGTGCCCATGGAGAATGCATATCTGTTCTTTGGGTATTCTCTTTACCTTCTTTCATCCCATCTGGGCAGCCCCCTGAGACATGCAAGCGTTCCATGTATCCATGACTCTGATTCTATTTTGTTCATCTGTTTATTATGTTCATGACATTCCACAAATAAGTGAGATCATATGGTATTTGTCTTTCTCTGAGTGGCTTATTTTGAGCATTATAATTTCCAGTCTGTCCATGCTATCACAAAAGGTAAGAGTTCCATCCTTTTTACAGCTGCGTGGTATTCCACTGCGTAAATGTACCACAGCTTTTTTATCCACTCACCTACTGATGGCCACTTGGACTGTTTCCAGATCTTATCTATTGTAAATAATGCTGCTATGAACATCAGGGTGCATATATTTTTCCTAATTGGTGTTTCAGGTTTCTTAGGATATATTCCTAGAAGTGCGATCACTGGGTCAAAAGGCAGCTCCATTTTTAATTTTTGAGGAACCTCCATACTGTTTTCCACAGTGGCTGCACCAGTCTGCATCCCCACGAGCATTGTACTAGGGTTCCCCTTTCTCCACATCCTTGCCAGCACTTGTTTGTTGATTTGCTGATGGCAGCCATTCTGGCAGGTGTGAGGTGATACCTCATTGTGGTTTTAATTTGCATCTCTCTGTTGGTTAGTGATGTTCAGCACATTTTCATATCTCTCTTGGCCATCTGTATGTCTTCTTTGGAGAAGAGTCTATTCAGGTCTTTTGCCCATTTTTTAATTGGATTCTTTGTCTTCCTGGTGTTAAGTTGTATAACTTTTTATATATTTTTGAAATTAACCCTTATCAGATGATCATTGGCAAATATGTTCTCCCATACAGTCGGTTCCATTTTCCTTTTGCTGATGGTTTCTTTTGCTGTGCAAAAACTTTTTACTTTGATGTAGTCCCATTTGTTTATTTTCTCCTTTGTTTCCCTTGCTCCAGGAGACATATCAGCAAAAATATCGCTACAAGAGATGTCTGAGATTTTACTGCTAGGATTTTTATGGTTTCATGTCTTACATTTAAGTCTTTTGTCCATTTTGAGTTTATTTTTGTGTATAGTGTAAGTTGGTGGTCTAGTTTCATTTTTTTGCACGTACCTTTCCAATTTTCCCAACACCATTTATTGAAGAGACTGTCTTTACTCCATTTTATGCTCTTCCTCCTATGTCTAATATTAATTGACCATAGAGGTGTGGGTTGATTTCTTGGCTCTTTGTTCTGTTCCATTGACCTATATGCCTGTTCCTAAGCGAGTACCAGGCTGTTTTGATGACAGTGGCCTTATAGTATAGTTTGATATCTGTATTGTGATCCCTCCAACTTTGTTTTTTTCTCTCGCAAGATTGCTGTGGCTATTTGGGGTCTTTTTTGGCTCCATATACATTTTTAGAATATTTCTTCTAGATCTGTAAAATATGCCATTAGGATAGATTGCTTTGGGTAGCTTGGACATTTTGATGATGTTAATTCTTCCAATCCATGAACATGGTATATTCTTCCACTTGTTTATATCTTCCTCTATCTCTTTTTTCAATGTCCTGTACTTTTCTGAGTACAGGCCTTTGACCTCCTTGGTGAAGTTTATTCCTAAGTATTAACTTTTTTGTTGCAATAGTAAATGGGATTGTTTTCTTAATTTCTCTTTCTGATAGCTCATTATTGGTGTATAAAAATGCCATCAATTTCTGGATACTGGTTTTGTATCCTGCTATTTTGCCAAATTCATTTATTAGATCTAGTAGGTTTTCTATATATAATGTCATGTCATCTTTGAATAATGACAGTTTTACTTCCTCCTTTCCAATTTGGATGTCTTTTATTATTTTCTGATAGGTGAGGCTAGAGCTTCCAGTACTATGCTGAATAAGAGTGCTGAAAGCAGACACCCTGTCTTGTTTCTAATTTTTAGGAGAAGGCTTTCTAGTTTTTCCCTGTTGAGTATGGTGTTGGCTGTGGGTTTGTCATATATGGCCTTTATTACGTTGAGGTATTACTCGCACTTTCCTGAGAGTTTTTATCACAAATAGGAGCTAGGTTTTGTCAAATACTTTTTCTGTGTCTATTAATCTGATGATGTGATTTTTACCCTTCATTTTGTATATGTGATGTATCACATTTATTGATTTGAGAATATTGTACTAGCCTTGCATCCCTGGAATAAATCCCACTTGATCATGTTACTTGATCTTTTTAATGTATTGCTGAATCCCATTTGCTACTATTTTGTTGAGGATTTTAGCATCTATGTTCATCAGAGAGATTGGCCTATAATTTTCTTTCTTTGTAGTGCATCTGGTTTTGGAATTAGGCTAATGCTGGCCTCATAAGAAAATCTTGGGAGTCTTCTCTTTTTTAAAAAGTTTTATTTGGTTAATTCTCACCTGAGGATATTTTTTCCATTGATTTTTAGAGAGAGTAGAAAGAAGGGGAATGGGGAGAGAGACAGAGAGAGAGAGAGAGAGGGGGGGGG